GGTTGTTTGTTTTGTTTTTGTTTTAAAGAACAACCCGATCGGATGCTAGGTATGCTGATAAGAGCAGACACATCTAGCACCTTCGGGAAGGCTCCATCTATTGGTGGGGAGCAACACCTGCTGGAAATCGGGTCCAGCGTCCCATTGAATACATCTTTGTGGCAAAGCATTTGTTGGGCATGAGGCCATTAGAGTTCTCGCTCCGGAGCATCATTTTTTCCCTCTGGGCTGCATGTATTACCCTTCCAATTTGTTGGGCTCCCATTTCCCACTGGCCTAGCCCCACCTAGGGAGATGTCCCGCCACACATTAACATTAATGCTCGACTTGCTACCAGTGGCTCGACTCCTATCCTAGATGTCTGCAACCCCCCTTGCATCTGCTGGAACCCGGGTCCAGCGACCCGGACCAGAGTCAATTGCATCTCACACAGACATTCGTATATGGTGCCCAGAGTCTCTGTGGACTGTCCTCCGTGGGGGCACTCCTGGTCGGTTTGGTATCTTGCTAGCGTACATGTCGTCACCATCCATTCGACAGTAAGTCCGATCTCCATGTCCACCATCCCCCTTCATGCCTGAAGCCAAGCTGAAGTCACAGTGGAGTGAGTCTCTGTGCCGGCAGTCTAGCTAACCCATCTTGTTTGCGTACACGGGATCCTTTTTAGGCAGGTGGTAGTAATAAACCCGGGTCCTGTGTACGGTATACCACCACTGAGCGGGTTTCTGTGGGTGTAGGCAGACTATCCTGTCGTTAACCCCCACCCTGTGAAACATGGAGTGTTTGAACAGTGTCACAGAATGTTTGACAGTGTTAGTCCATTTCAGTTATCTATCAGGGAGTGGTATATTCAGCTGGGATGTAGTTCATGGGCAGATCCGAAGTTATTTTTCTGTACCTCTTCACTCGTCCCCTGAGCGCCTGGCAGATTTTTCTGTTCCTCTTCACATCCATATGTGGGGGTTTGGGGAGCTCAGTCTAACCCCCTAACTTCTGGCCCATAAACCCTAAACCTTGTGAACCTTGCAGTCAGTGTTCATGGGAAGATCCGTAGTTATTTTTCTGCACCTCTTCTCTCGTCCCCTGAGCGCCTGGCAGATTATGATCTCCTCTAGTACATCCATATGCGGGGGTTGGGGAAGCTCAGTGTAACCCCCCAACTTCTGACCCATAAACCCTAAACCCTGTGAACCTTGCAGTCAGTTTGTTTGTTTGCATGTCGTGATTAGTCATTTGATCGAGATCCGATGAGTCCTTCTAAGAGTCCTTCCATCTCGAAGAAGTCGTAGTGACTAATCCCCGGAGTGCGTATTCATGTTGCCACACACTTCGGTCATTCATGGCGCAGGTCCCCTGTGCGTCATATATCTCGCATGTCTGCCCACTGCTGTCGTCTCTCTCTTCGTCATACCGGTTTCTTGCCACACTGGACTGTAGAAGGTATATGGGCGGCGGGGTGGGGGGGAGAGAGGGAAGGTGGCGGCGTGGGGTAAGTAGGTGGTCGCGTCTTGAGGGGGGTGGCTTGCAGGGGTAGCAATGAAGGGTCGGCACGGGTCATCAGTGGGTCCAGGTCTGGGCATCTGCGGGCCCGGAGTCTTGGGGGATGAGCAGGAAGTTTGTCGGTAGATATGGGACTGCAAAGTCCTCCAGGGGTCTCCTGTGCCATTGTGGTTCGCCCGCCCTCCAATTTTGCCATCATATTCGGAGGTCGTCCTGGAGGTCAGAAAAGGCGTGGTGCGGGTCCTGCCAGATCTGGCAGTAGGATTCCTTCAGTGCTTGTTTGAGAGCGGCGTCTGCTTCATCTTCGTAACTCTGCTTCATGCTTTTCCAGGCATGTTGTGTGCGGGATCTAATCTCTTCCTCTATCGCCTGCTGTGCTTGCTGCAGTCCATATTGGTGGTCCTTTCTCTCATAGGAGCATCTCGCTCTCCAGGCTTGCATGAGAACATGTAGTCTCATGTACGTGAAGAGGTTAGTGGCGAACGGGGTCCATTGTCTTTGCAGGTGTTGGTTCACGCCCAGCAGGATAAGACCCAGGTCCCATGGGATGTGTATATCCGTGAGCGAGTGAAAGGCCGCATCCCACCACCTCCAAATTTGGGCAACCATCGGGCATGCCAGTAGGCAATGTTCGAGTGTTGCCCTGGCGGTCAGCGTCGCCCTGCCGCAGTAAGGGCAGATAGGGGACAACACTCCTTTCTGCTCCAGTTGTGTTCGCGACACAATCCAGTCGGGGGTGGGGAGACAACGGTGTAGGATCTGCCATTGCAGAGATCTGAGGCTTGTGGACATCAGTTTGGCATACTTAGCCCAAGGGAGGTCGCTCAGCAGCAGGGGGTTAAGAGGCGAGTCCCTCTCCCATCTCTGTGAGACTGTTTGTCCTATCTGCTGGTGCGGTCGAGCCGCTCTATACCCCCCTTTAACAGTATAATCCCAGATATGCATAGTCCGTTGGCCTGTCCATTCCCAGTCATCCAGGTCGAAGGGAAGGCGGGCTATAGGCGTGGTGGGTTCATATGCCTGGTAACCTTTGTGTTTTGGTCCCCCACCACTCTGACAATCATCAGTCCTACCCATTGCTCAGTTGTGTCCCGATCTTCATCCCGGGCAATCTGGGTGAGCCTCGCTCCAGGTTTGTGCAGGGCGAAGGCTTCAAGTGTACACCTGCCATCATGTGTGTCTTGCACCCTTTATATAGTCTCCGGGGCGGGCAGGTCGGCGTATCTGACCACCCAATCCTGTGAGTGGATTGTTGGACCTGCTTTAAGCGTTTGTCGCCAGGCCAGGGGGAGAGCATCTATCAGTTGGCGGGACTTATCTGCCACATTTCTCACATATTTCAACTTGGCCCGCATCTTATCGGGCGAAGCCCAGCTTTGCTGGATCGGGTCTCAAGGCCATCGTCCTTTCACAAACAAAAAAAAAAAAAAAAAAAAAAAAGTGGACTCCTTACCATCCCGATCACCACCCATCCAGCTGCTAAATTGGAGTATCTTGCAGCTATAGGGTAACCGCTCTTCGATCCCGATGGACTTCAGTGCGGTGTCGACTCTTCGAAGAAAACGAGGCACCCCATTCCATATTGTCTCCGTTAAGTAACTCATGCCAGCGCGCATCTCGTCTTGAGGAGTTGGTTGAACCCGACGAATCTCGTCCGTTCGCCATGCAGCCTGGATCTGCTCCATGTTCCACACAATGCAGAACAAACAGCCAAAATGAACGACTCTCTACTATCAACTACTATCTTCAACCAGCCAAAAAAAAAAAAAAAAAAGGTCTTCAACCGAGTTGTTGCAACATCATCGTCGGAAAATTTCATTTCCAGGCAAAACATTAACGGCAACCAGCAGGGACAAACATTTCGGCCAGCGGCGCCCCCACCACCGCCTTTACTACGAGCGCAATTGAATGAATAACAGATTTTTTGAATCGACAATGCCTGGCTTCTGAATTTCTAAGAGAGGCGTATGGACTATTATGGAGTCTTCCTCCTCAATGGAACAATCAGCCATCCTATTATCCGTCCTTCGAGTGGGAGGAGGGGGGGAGGAGGGAAGAGGACAGCCCTGCACTACCATCGTCCCCCGAATAGAACGCCCGGTCGCCATAGTTGTTTCTATTTGCAAGTGGGGGCAACTTGCAGTCTAGACACGGCGGCGATAACGACAGCCAAACCTACCGGAAAATTTGGCACCCCTTCCATGATCATGCCTCGAAGATAGCGCGGGGTTTAATAAAAGGGGGTGAAGGGTACCCATCCCGCGCGGGGGTCTGGAGCCCATGCCATAGCCTTCAGGGTTTAGGGTTTAGGGTTTAGGGTTTAGAGGTAAGGTGTTACAGTGAAGGATTTACGGGATCCAGGGTTTAGACAATTGGGTTTTACAGTTCAGGAGAAGGGGGGTGGGTGGGGTGGGGTGGGGGGGGGGGGTTAAGGGTTTAAGGTATACGGTGTCAGATTTCAAAGTTTTGGGTTCAGAGCTAGGCTACCAGCCAGGCCACCCGGGAAACGCCCGGGTGACCTTGTTTTCCCGGGCGGCCCGGCCGTGCAAGGACGAGGGAGGGTCCCAGCGCAAAAAAAAACAAAAAAAAAAACAAAAAAAACGAAAAAAAAAAACTGTGTTATGCAGAAAAATAACCTGAACAACTTTTGCTCAGAGTCACATCGAAATTCTTTACCTTTTTTTTTTTTGTTTGTTTCTGGCCCGCCGGGCAAGTGGTCCCGGGCCATTCTGGTAGCCTAGGTTCAGATATGATTTTGAAGCTGCAAGATGGAATATAGTAATATACTAATATAGACTTCAATAAAAGGTTGACGGATGTTGACAAGAAGGTCTACAGCCCATGCCATAGTCTTCAGGGTTTACAGTTTAGGGTTTATGGCACTTTATGGCATTCAGGGGGTTTAGACTATAATTAGGGTTTCGAGTGCAGGGTTTAGGGTTTAGAGTTTAGGGTTTAGGGTTTAGGGTTTAGAGTTTAGGGTTTAGGGTTGCAGAGTTAAAGGTTCAGGGTCTACGGTTTCGGGTTCAGGGTTTAGGGTTTAAGGTTTAGGGTTTCCCGTTTAGTTTTTTTTTTCTTTTCTTTAAAGTTCTTTTTTTTTTTCTTTTTTCTTTTTTGGCGAAGAGAACACATTCGTTACACATTAAATGCTTTAGGGTTTGTGACACTTCGCAGGGCGAAAACCAATAGCATCTACAGATTCTACACAAAGTAAAGGGCAAACATGACTGGGGCATGATATACGGGAGGAGGTTTACCGTCTTCACGCGAATAGAACATACGGTCATTGTCGCTGCATCTAGACTGAAAGTTGCGCCAAATGCGGCGACTACAATGACCACACGGTCCATTCCGGGGAAGACGGTACGGTATGCATTTGGCGAGCTGTGACCACATGGCCTCTTCTATATTAATAACTGGCCCGAAGATTGCAAAACATAGGGGTATCTATTTCTGTATATCTGGCCCGAAATTTTGCAAGAAACAGGGCTGAAGTGACTGCATCATACATTCCAGGCAAGGCGGTAGGTTGGACCCGTACGATTACCCTCTTCCTCCCCCAAACACAACACACCCTCATTTTGACTGTTTATCGGGCCGGAAACATCCCTTGTATACGTTCGTTGTCAGGGTGCGTTATAGTCGGGGGAAAGACGGTAGTAGAGCCACTGTAGCATGGTGATTTGCAGGCCAGACTTAGGGCCAGATCCCACTGGCAAGGAGGATTGGAATAAGCCTCTGAATCTGGACGTGTTTGTGGAGAGGTGCAAACAATTGTGATTGAAATTCTTTTCTGCATCTCTGCATGGAACACGTCCAGGTTCAGCCACTTATTCCCATCCTCATTGCCAGTGGGATCTGGCCCTTAGATGCCATTCCTCGATCTGGACCTGTGTGTGGTGCAGTGGATGACAGAGATCTGCAGCCACGAGAAGCGCTGCCCGTTTTTTTTTTTTTTTTTTTGGACCATTTCTCGATTTATGCGTGTCGTGTTTGTGTCATTTCATTTTATTGTTCTGGACCATTTCTCGATTTAAGAAGCAAGGGGCAATGCTAATCTTTTTTTTTTTTTTTTTTTTAATCTTGCGCAGGGGCCATGCTAATCTTCTGTATATCCTTCCAATTTTAACGGATGTCCCGAAGGACAGCGCCATGCTAATCTTCATCCTCTCTATCGTTCCAATTTTAACGGACGTCCCGAAGGACACCAGAAGCAATGGGTGGGGGCAAACAACAGTGCACAGTGCACACAAACCCAAAGTCATGCACACGGTCTCACAAAAAGACGATTTACAGCAATGAGCCGCAAAACGGGATGTCAAATTGGAAATAGTAACATTATGGACGTCCTAAAAAAAAAAAATGACGTCCCATACCATTATCTTCCACCTTCACACCAGAAGCAATGTCTGTTTGGGGACACAGTTCCTTGTTGTTCAGAACCGTAGCCAGCGCCGCTCTGCTTTTTGCCCCGTCATTATCGCTGTGTATACTGTCACATACCGATGAAGTAGTGTCAAGTAGTATGAACTAAAAGCACTTCGCGAAACAAACCGTAAAAAAAAAAAGAAAAAAAAGAAGAAGAACAAGACCAACATGAAGGGCACACTGAAACCAATCATTTTCCTCACTCTTCTGCACCTCCTCCCGCCCCCCCCACCACCCTCTTCACCGTGCCTCTCACGTACAAGGCAGCTCGCCATGTCGTTGAAGTTTAGCATGAGCTGACGGTATCCCTACCGAGTGACATAACAGCCCACTTGTACGCTGTGAAAAAGAGGCAGAGTAAGGGGGGAGAGAGGATAAACACATGGGGGAAGAGATATGGAGGGAGATGCTGAATTTTCCAAAAGATATGGCTATATCCACTGGGCTTTCTATTCGGGTGTAGACGGTAGCTTCGAGGTCTCAACACCAGGGGGGGGGGGGGGTCCAAGGAGAACTGCAGCCTTTTCGACTAAAAAGAGTGCACGGTCGCTATTGCTGTACCTAGACTGAAAGCTGTCCCAAGTACAGCTATAATAATGACTGTGCGTTCTATTGGACAAGAGTGAGTCCTTGTTTTCTTTCTCTTTTTTTTTTTTTCTATTTTTTGGAGGGGGGGATAATTTGTGAAATACCCATGTAAGTCGAGAATCTTGAAATATATGCCAAAATGCCCCTGAAATATGTGGGTAGAGCAGAATGCCCTTTTGGGCCTAATTGTTTGCGTTTTGCCCCTGTCAAGCCCGTGTGCAAACTTGCATTCCGGACGGCGTTGTTGGGGCCTCGGCCTGTACCCCGTTTTATCCGGTTTGCCCTCCATACCGGAAGGGCAACTTTGTGAAATGCCCAGGCCCGTAGGCGGGGCAGTTTGCCTCCGTGATTCAAACTTTCAAATTCGTTCCGAGTCTCTGCCTATGCCACGTCACCATCTCTGAAATCCTCCTGCGAACTCTCTCTCTCTCTCTCTCTCTCTCAAAGCAACGTGCAAAACGACAGCGGCTTCCCCCGAATAGAAGGCACATCCATTATCTGTACCTGGGCCACAAGGGGGAAAAAAACAAAAATACATACGGTCTGGGAAAAGTTGGCAAGTACCCAGACATTTTACAAAGACGGACAGTGCCCGATAAGGGTATTTTGCAAAGATGGCAGGTCCAACCTACGCCAGGGGCATTTCGCAAAACATTTTTTTTGTGTGTATCAGAGGGGTATTCCGCTCTACCCGCATCTTTTAGGCCCATTTGGGCATGTATCTCAACTTATAGGGGTATTTTGCAAATTACCCCCTTTTTTCCTTTCTTTTCTATTTGTATGTCTTGAAAAGATACAGGCTGTATATGTCACCGGAAGCACAGTTGTCTTGCGCAAGTCCGGCATGTTATCATTTCTATATCAGATGCAGGCTCCGCGTTTCCGTATGTGACCGGACTCGTCGTTCCTATACATTCCAGCAGTGCAAAAAGCAGTCACCGGCAGCGAAGTTTCCTACGGCACGACAATTTTCCTTTTAAACTTTTTCAGCCCAAAGTGCGGCCCCCCAAAAAAAGGTTTGCCTGTGGTCTCACAAAACAGCCCTTGTCCAGTGACTTCCTCGCGGCAAACAGAAAAAATGGTTGGGGTGCGGTAAGGTGGACGAAGCAACAACAGAGGTAGGCAACAATACATTATTAATTTATTAATCATTTATTATTCTCCTGTTGTCGCAACAACAGAATTGTTGGGTGCCTGAGGGACAACTTGAGGGAGATGCTCTTATCACTCTCCCAAGTGTCCCCCTCTCCTGAAGTTCGGGGGAAAAAAAAAAAATTGTTGGGCGGTCTGATTACAAAATAGCGCTTGTACTTGACGAACTGTGTGGGGGCAGTACATATTATGGCGTTTCCTGTTGTGGGCTGTTGGTGTGTACTATAAACGCGACACAGCATGTACTATTGAGAAAGGTAGTATACTAGCAGACGGACCGGACGAGCGTCCGGTCCCGTCCGGTCCGCTTTGCCGCGTGCGGCACCCTCCCCCCGGACCAGACGGACCCGGACCGGACCGGACAGGGCCTTTCTTGTTTTTTTGGGGGGGGAGGGGGGGGGGGGCGTAACTAGTCGTCGGGCGCACATTCGTGAGCCGCGTGGGTCCGGTCCGGCGGTCTGCCACACGTGCGGAACCGCCCGGACGGCGTCCGCTTGCAAGTATGCTCTAAACCCAAGAGAACGGACCACAGACAAAAGGACTCGAGAGTTACTACAAGCACCCACCTCAACTTCTTACCCAGACTGCGTAAACCCGTTTTCGATCGCGCTGTCAATAGCCTACACGTTTTTTTGCTAATTCTATAAAAAAATAAAAAATAAATAAAAACTGATATTTAACTTTACCTGCCGGTGAAGTTCCTCGACAATTTCCTTGATATCGTTTGGCCTGAGTGTACTCGCGTTTTCGTGAAGCCTCAGCAGTGTTGACTTGATTTTTGAGTGCTTGCGGAGAATAGATCGCCGGACTGATTGTGTTGGGTGTGCTGTTAGTACAAGGTCGACAGATTGCGACTTCAACGCCTCGAAGATTTCCTCCTTCGACTTTCCAAGCTTGAGCAGCTTCGCCAGCGTTTCCGTGAAGTTGGACTCCGTCAGTTCGTTCCCCTCATCCCCGAGCTCGCCGGTTTTCACATCCGATCTCCTTCGCAAGGCCATCTGCACCTCTTCGGCCAGATTTTCTAAGTTCAACATGTGCGAGAACGCACTCGCAATAAGTATGCTGTTGGCCGGTGGCAATCCATCAATGAACGATATGAGATCGTTGAGGACATTCAGATTCAACGACTCTGAATACGCCGCTGCGATCGTATAACACTTTTTCACCTGCACACACCGTGTTCCAGAATGCAACCAGAGGAGAAATTGAGAAAAGAACATAGCTTTAATTTGAAAAAAAAAAAAAAAAAAAAAAAA